CTTCTACAGGAAAGCGGCCAACGTCCAGATAGGGTGTGAGAAATAGAACCTCTCACAATGGCCAAATGATGCTGCTACTTGGCTTCCCCGCAACTTTGCCATCTGCCAGACTATGCCCATAAATTTTTACTAAGCACACGCAGTGCGCTCTCCACTGTCCTGCTTTGGCCTGGCCAGCTTCTTTCTGGCCTGGTCATCTATTTCCCTGGCCTGAGAGATGTGTCTGCGTCTGCTGTCCGTAATTTTTTCTCTTCGCTCTTTTTTATCGTTTAATTAAAATTCGCAACACGTATATCCATTTGAGCCGCTGCTGCAATCTTTACTTTAACCTTAAGGCGGACCAATCCCAATCCCAAGTCCCAGTCCAGCTTCAGTGTTTCCATCTGCCATTGCCGAGTTCTGTGTGTGGTAAATCCTATTTTTCTATTTTGTTGCCCCATAAAACCACTTTATACAATTTTCGTCTTTTGTTTTTCGATTTTCTTCATGTTCTTCAGTGGAAATTCCTTCTATCCCTCTCCTGATGCTCTTAATGATATAGAGTTATTTTAAAAGTCTGAAAAAGTTTCTTTTGTATAAATAAAATATGAATTATTTAATGGATATGATTTTTAAGGAATACTACTTTAGAAAAACATTTTCTTTAAGTTATTCATTATTTATTATTATGAAAACAATCAAATTTGTCTTATGCCTAGATCGCTAAATTGACAATTTTTGAAACTGATGTATAATTCATTTTATTTCATAGTTTCCTTGTTTAATTTCTCCCTAGATATCTACACTATTTAAGGGTATCAGAAGGTCGGATTGGGTTTAATTTTTTCATTTTGATTTCGCTGCTTGTTTTGCAATCGCAGCTGTTGCTGGTGTTGTTGGTCTGCTGAAGCCCTGACTTTTACCAATTATTGCTAGTGCCGGGGCCAGCCAGCGAATTAGCCTTTGTTGGGCAACCAATCAACTGGGCCACCTCCTCCCCACTTCGGCCCGTTCCTTTTTTTTCTGTGTACCCGTACTTTCCCCTTGGGTTGCCCCTGGCTTTTCATTACTTTTCTATCAACGTACTTAGGCCATTGTTGTGCAGTTATTTAGCACAATCAACACCCGTTGCCGCTGATAGCCCCAGCCCTTTGTCTTAGCCTCCCTTGCAATATCCTGCTCCTAGGAGCTCGGAGAGAGGGAGAGAATGAGAGAGCTTAGTAAATTTTATCAATGGCAAACATTTCTCCGAGAGTCCCCCCGCATCCCGATGCGTGCTCACCTGAAGGCTGGATCCTTTGTTCATTTACGTTTCAGTTGAGTTGCACACAAAATTAATGGAAATTGCTGTGCACAATGTACGAGGCAATCCAATCCAAGGAGCTCTCTGGCCAAAGGAGAACGGATTGGGGGCATTAAAAAATTAACAAAATGCCGGACTACCAAGTGGCAAACTGGAAGCTGGCCTTTCTGCAAGCATCTCCATGTAATTGTTGCATGTCCTGCTCCTCCACCTGCTATTGCATTCAATTGGAATTATCTATGAATGGTCCAGGACTCGAGACGATAAGGGATATTGGAGCCGGGTGGTCGGTGGATCCTGGGTGCACACTGATTGTTCAGGGATCTTGTGGGCTCACGGACAAGTTGTTAAGCGCTTAAGTTGAGCCAGAAATGTTGTGGGAGGAATTACGGATGGCTGAGAGGTTTGATGGGACTTTAAATTACAGCTAAGGTGCTAATACTTTGATTTTCGGTCACTAAACGCATCTCTCCTGCATTTAGAAATCGATACAATCGCTATTTACCTTTGGGTTTTTAAGTGCTTTTAAGAAACCAATGGAATCAATATATGTCTAACCCTGACAAACTTTAAGTATCTTTTAATGCCTTCGTTCATCAACTTTTGTCTTGTTCAATTTTCACGCTACTTGTTGATTAGTTTTAAATGAGTTTTGCCGGCGCGCCGGCAACTCTTAGTCCGCTGCCGTCTTAACCCTTTCAACCCCACACCGGAGGCCCTGATTGATATTTACGCGCTCGAGCTGATTGAAGTGTAATCAGCAGGCAGTCAGTCAGCGAGTCACTCAATCAGTCAATCGGAGCGAGCTGCGGGCCATGTATTAGCAGCCGAATGAAATGTAAGTGAGCAAATCGTAATTAAAATGGCGCCCAGCAGCGGCGGCAAGAGCAGAAACAGAAGCGGAAACAACAACAGCAACAGTAACAGCAAAAGCAAACAAACGAGGCAGCAAATTACGCTCGAGGACACAAACAATATGCATTAGAGCTGAACAAGATGAAGAAGCACAAAAGCGTCGAGTCCTCTGGAGAGTGGAGAGGAACAGGGTGGTGGAAAATGCGAGGGGGTCAAAGCACTCTAATGTCTGATGGCAGTGACGTTGACACAGACGAGACGCTAATGAAAATGCATAAGCAGATGCAGTTGAGGCAAACATAAAGCAGAGCCAAATGGGAGTTATGATGTCAGCAACTGATAATGTAAGCAAAGCCCTTACCAGTATCCATTTTGTAGGAAAGGGAAGCCTTTTATGGCAAAAGGGATTTGGGATTATACACCGTATCTATTATCTTAAGTATTGATCCAGGTAATTGATGAGGTTATTTGATTAAGACAGATACGATTATCCCCCTGCCAATTTGCATTCCTGTAAATAAAGTGTTGCCTACTTTTATGCGTCTTCTAAGTGCACCTGAAAGTATGCAATGAGCTACGAACCGGATGTTGCATGGTGTTCTGATATCAAAACCCAACTCAACCCAATCTCGCAGTTAATTCTCTTTTAAGAAATATTTAAAAAATAATCAACAGATAAAATTGCGATAAAGCTGATCTCTATTTCCACTAATAATTTATTTAATATTTGTTTAAAATTTCCTGAATTCCAGAGTAACCTTAAATGAAAAACCGACAGACGCAGAGTGACAGAATAAATAGCAGAACCAGAATAATTACGAGAATGCATAATGACAGAAAGGGAGTTAGCGCATTGGGAATGCGACTGCACAACAAATGCTAAAATGGGCAGCACAAAAGATGAAAGCGGCCCACTCATAAATATGGGAAAAGCCGGGGAAATGCACTCGTCGCATGTGTGTGTGTGTGTGTGTGTGTGAGTGCGCCTCTCTGTCTGCTATCTGTTTGTCTCCGTCACTCACTCTGGCATTCAGGCACTTTGTCCCTTTTGTCAAGTACTCACTCCTTCTGTTCGCCCTGCGATCCGGATTCTGAGTCTCCGTCCGGGCGTAAATCAAAGTGAAAAGCGTGCTAATTGCATTAAAAGCATATAAACAAAATGCAATGCAAGTGGCTGTGATAAATATAAAAGGCAACAACACACACACACACACACACACACAGTCCCTGGAAGGCCTCCAACTGAATGTCACTGTGTACTGTATACATATATATATATCGCGCTCCTCTTTCGGTCCCTCTTCCAGATCCTTTTGTGCATGCGAAGCGAGTGCTGTGAAATTAAGCAAATAAGCATGGGCAAAGAGCAAAATGGGCTCAGCTCAGAGAAAAAATGAGGGGAGCAAAAAGTTGACGAGATTCCAGTTACTTTGTAGCCCCAGTGGAACCCTTTTCTACGACTTTTAATTGCTGGAAAAGCTTTAAAGGGAACAAAAATCGTGACTCACGAAAGTTCTTTGGCTATCACCAACAATAGATAAAAAGGTAATATGTTTATATATCACTTTGGATTGTAACTTAAGTTTAGGTTGAACATGTGAAATTAACTAGAATATGTAAAGCTAAATAGGTTTTAAATCTTATCTAGATATTTCGAAAAATATAACCATTGTAAGCTAAGAATATTATCTGAAATATAGCCTTTTTTTATTCTTAGAAAAGGCGTGCATTAAATATCCATTTCTGGCGATAAATATTCAAAGTTTTGACTTGGCTTTCGCCCCACGACTAATTTGTGCCCATTAATAGCTCAGGGATCCTTGGAACTTATCAAAATAAACATTCTTCATTCGCTGAAGTTTGCCTGGAGTATTCCCAAGTCATTAACCCGCCATAAAGAAGGCAGTCTGGATAAGCAAGAACACACTGCTCACATTTATGGTTAGCGATACGAATGTTCTCCGGCGCTTTTAACTGCATGTACTCAGGCAGGGCCCGGATTCAGGCTCTTTATAGCACCCAATCACGACTTGAAAAGTGGAAGCCATGGCTTGCTTTGGCCCAGTGTGGAGGAGCCACCGCATGCGTAGCGAAAATTCAATCGTACAATGTGTTGATATATGACACGTAATCAAATGTTTAAGTGCATGGCACACGCATCGCCAAGTCTGAGGGTTTTCGCAACCATTCCCCCCCATCAAAATATGAACAAAATCTATGGGATTGGGTGGCCCGGGCGGTGGACAGAGTATACACAGCAAATCCGACAAGTAAATATAATAACAATAAAATGAAGCAACGACATGAATGCCATCGCAGCGCCAAGGCGAGATATTATGACACTGCCGGCAACAATAAAAAAAGAGTATAACAGCGAAAAGAATGCCTGGCAAGGACAATTGCTGGCACGAATCTCGGGCAACGTCTGTTCTCCGTTCGTCCGTCCTCGGTTCTCGGTTCACAGTTCCAGGTCAAGAGCGCAGACAAAGGCTGTAATGACAACAGGACTGACTGTTGGGCAAAAATTCAGCGAAAAATTATAATGATTTAAATAAATATTTTGTTAAATGTATTGTACATCTTGGGCGGACAACTTGAGTATGGTGGGAATATATGTTTTAAACCTGAAATACTTTCCTTTTAACTTTGATCCGATATACCCCGTTAAACTGTCCGCATACTGGGTAACAACAGAAAGAAACCCTGAAAATATGCTGCCAGGTCTTTGGAACACTTCCAGCCATAATCAGGTGCGCTCATTTCGTTTTTGTATTCTTTATTTTTTAAAGACTTAATAACATTCATTATCTGCATATATTTTACATTGCTACACAGTTTATTTATTTACTTTTCTTGGCTTAACATCTCTAAGTTTGGATATCATTTCACTAGTTATGGCCCTTAGTCTAGTTAACATTTAACAATTTGTTCATCGCACAAGAGAGAGAGACAAAGATATTTTAAGCCGAGATATGCCTTTAGCTGTGCGTCATACGTTTGAGTGCAGTGAAATAATTTAATACGTGGGTTTTAAATATGACAAAAGTTACAATAGAAAGGGGTAAGTTCATTTAAACATGGGGGAATTTGTTAATCAATGGGATATACTTCTGCATAAATATGATTTATATAATTATGTATGAGATTTTTATTTGAAATAAAAAGTATTAAATAAATTATATCAATCTAATTTAAGCACTTAATGAAAAAAGGCAGAAAAGGTTAACTGAAGAATGGAATAATCTCCTTTTGAATCGAAAAAACTGAACCTTAATCTACGTTTATCTTGGCTAGTTGACTTGATTAGAGTTCATTAAAATCATTTTCCTAATTAAAACATTGCTCTTACCTTGATATAGGGGTTTATAATTCAACGATTTAATTTTGTTTGTTTATACTTAAATAGATTTAAATTCTCGCTTATTGAAAATACTTAAATGCTACAGTTTTGGCTACTTACTTGAGTTTATTAATTTATACAGGCATACACTTACTTTAAATTATTTTCTAACATATTTCTTTTGGTTTTCAACTTCTCAGCCAACACCTTTGAGCATTTTCCTAAGACTGACAAGCACAAGCCCACAGAGGAACAACCGCATTTTAATGCTTCTCTAATACATGTATGGATATACATAGATACGGTAAATATGGATATGTACACACAGTAGTTAAGCGGGCCGGAGACACGGCGTATACGTGATGTGGCAAAAATATGTATCTATATATTTTCAAATATGTACACACTGAACCTGATGAGATTTTAGGCCAAGTAGCCAGGCCTTTTGATGCCAAACCTCTTGGTTAATTGTTATCTCCGCTGAGCAGCATCCTCGACACTTAATTGGCTCGACAGCCGGCTCCTGTTTGCGTTGCTTGGGTGCCTGACTTTGTTGGTGATACCCTCGGTGCTGCTGTTGCCCCTGTTCCTGCTCCTGCTGATGATGCTCCTGTTGTTGGCGCCGCTCCTCTGACAGCAACGCCCCAGGACGGGTGAGAGGCTACACAGAAACGCTATTAAGACTGGCAGCGCGTAGAGGGAAATGCGTGCAATTGATTTGGAAGCTAATATGCGTGACCAGGGCACCGATGAGCCCCACCCCAATGTGGATGCACTGGAGGGTGCCGCTGCTGCCGCCGCTGCTGCTGCTGCTGCTGCTGCTGCTGCCGCCGAAGTCGCCGCTGCGGGGCGTCGGCTCTTCTTCAGTTGTTTGTCTAGTTTGTGGTTAGAGAAAGCGGGAGAAGAGAGATTGGATGAGTAATGGAGGGCAGTGAGCTGGGACCCGGAGGCTGGATGGATGGCAAGCTTTGGCCAAAACTTTTGTGGGCACAACTGTTGCTGGTGCACTCGAAAAAAATCAATTGAGGGAACATTTTAAGGACTAAAAATACTCTATGTAGTTTTTAGTTTTGTAATTCTATAAAAATAATGTTTAAATTTTTGAATAATCTATTAATTTTACATTAATTTAAAATTTAAATATTATTTTGCAATACATTTTTCCCAGTGTCCTTCAGATGTTGGCTAACTAACCGCCGGATGATTGATGATCACTCACCTTCGAGGGAGGACTGCACCTTGTCCAGGGACTGGCGGGACTTGGACATGACCGTCTCCCGCGACTCCAGAACCGGGATCCGCTGGTGCTTGTCGCTCTCCACGCTCTCCTCGTTGCTCTGCCAGTACACGGAGGAGATTTTGGCGACACACTGCAGTTGGATTACAGGGAAAACTTTCATCAAATCTGTGTACATTGATAAATGTGTGCGGGACTGTGTGGAAATATGAGCTGGGAGCTGCGAGCTGTGAAATGGGAAAGGGGGACTGCAGCGGATTGGCCATTCTCTTGACGGCGCAGTAAAAGTTTTATGCTTTCATTAACTCCTCCCGCACGGCACGGGTAACGAGTAACCCGAAAATGACCCGCATACATCTCCGCAGGACTTACACAAACACACTTGTGCTTGTGTGTGTGTGTCCGCACACACCGCCAGCACCACATATGCAAACGGGTAGTGACCCACACGGTGGCCAATGGTCAGTGCACGGTGGGACAGAGTCGATTGGTTTGCATTTAAAATATGAAAATATGAAAAGTTTTAAATATAAATCGATATTAAACTAACATCACTGTTAGTCAGAAATGTTTTTAATCGATCTTTTTCTGGAAAACCAAGATTTTTAAATATATATTTGAATATTATTTCTGCCACTGTTCAAACTAGTCATGTCATAAGAGCACTTCGCCTGCCGCCCGCGTTCGCATGAAATTTTGTGGCTTGTTCAACACACATTTGCACTCGCAGTGGTGGTGGGGGTGGCTCCGTTGGTCCAGAGGGTAGTCCGGTGGCGAGTGGCTGGACAACTGGGTCCGAATGGATAATAATCAACATGAGCTGCCATGTTATGTTGTCGCAAATTGAATCAGAGCAACAGCGCGATGGCAAATATGTATGAAATGGCAATCTCCCGAATGAATGAATGTATCAATTTTCATGGCCTGCCCCGACTACCATAATCAGTTTATATCGTAAGGATACGATGACAGGGCCCTCATATAGAGGATTTCTTTACTTGAAAAGTAAAGCTGTTGACTCGTGACTATTTAATTTAGGGAATATGATTTTAAATGATGAAAGCAACTGCAATGTTTAACTTTTTTAGCCCAGTGTCCAGGTTCAATTGAGTGCGAGACCCCATTAGCCCACCTTTAGCTTCATGTCGCCGTGCTTGAAATGTCATCCGCGCACCCGGAACTCGAGCCCCAGTCGGGCAACCTCCAGGCCCTCTCGACCGACAATGAGGGGCTCGTAGGGACGCAGGAACGAGCGGTTCGCGTGCATCCCGTTAATCAGCCAGCTGAGATGGCAGACGGGCTTAGAGGCCGCCGAGGTGCAATTGACGCGCACCATGTCGCCAATTTGATAGCGGGGCTGCCCGCCCGTGATTTGTGGTCCATGCTTCGGGGTAACTGAAAGTCCATAGAAAATCAGAGTTGCAGATTAAATGGATTTTGCTGTTTAGTAAAATAGATCCCTTAAACCAATAATGTATGAAATGATAAAGATCCCAGTAATTGAGCTTCGGTCAGGAGAGAAATAAAACAAAGTTAACTACTTTAGTCTAAGTAAGTTTTAAATTTAATAATTCATAGCTCCTCTTCTGACCTGAATGTCAAGTCTCGTTTATGTGGATTAAACTATCCCAACAAAAATAGTTTTAATCTTATTGTTTTCCCTAAATAAAACCATAAAATAAACAAAGTCTTTGTCATTTGATTATTGCACTTCCACATCGAAATAAAGCTGTTTTTGGCCAAACAAGATTAATGGTTGATTTGGTTGTAGTATTCAGCCAAATTCTATTCCACTGCCATTAAGCCACGCCAGGCAACTTTTGCGATCGATCCCAATCCACAGCAGAGAGGACAATGTAAATTTATTTAAAGCCCAACTAAAATAGAACATAATAAATGTACGGAAATGTCCAAAGCTTCTCCTTGGTGCACAATTTTTGAACGTTGTTGCATTTGATTTGTTTCTCTTTTTAGTTGTTTGCTTTTTGTGGGTCAGTGTGTATGTCCAGCTGCTGGACCCATGATGTTGATAGTGCGGGGCGAACAAAAAAAAAAAGGGAAAATCGGGCGAGAGCCATGTCTGCTGCTGGCTGACCTGGCCGACTGCCAATTGGGTCAACAACTGTGAAAATCGAAACTAAACTAAAGCGAAACTTCAATTAGGCATAATCGATAGTTTCTCACTGATGAAAAGTTTGCGAAAAATGAAAGGAAACTTCAACGTTTATCGCACAAAAGAATATTTCGTCCATGCTTTTCCATCCGCTTCTTAATAATGGCAATAATTGCGCACAGGACTTTGGAAAATCCAACTGAAAACGAAGGAAAGGAATTAATATGAAAATATATACATGGAGCAAAAAAAGCTGAGGTTTTAAGGACTTGAAATCCCTACGAAATTATTTGGTTTAAAGGGACTTTTACTTATTTCACAGGATTGAAATAAACAAATTTGTTTACATTACTGTCTTCCCCAATTCCAAATAGTTCTGGTTTTGTTAATATATTTTTTATAAATGACCCACGTTTCTTGCCAAAACGAAATATGCACACTCATTTTCAGGTGACGTTATTTATCGGAGTGTCCAAAAATAAGGTCACAAGGAATTTTACTTTTCCTTATTTCCTCAAGTTATTTTCCTTTGTTCCTGCTATACTTTCACCTTCCTTGTTCGCACTCTTTCTTATTGTTCGGCTTAACTGAGCTGAACTGCATAAATTATTATTTTCAGCGACTATTTTTACGCTGTCCTGACATTGATTAAGCTGTTGATATTTTGTGGCGCTCCCTTTGGTCCCTTTAATATTTGCCAAAATGTCCAACATTTTTCCCCTTGTCGTTTGAGCCAAAGGGGCTGGCGGTTAACATCCCCGGTTGTGTTCGGCTCCAGTATCAATTGGTAATAATTGCTGGGCATTTTTATTCCTCCGCCGCCATTGTCCGGCTTTGTTTGCCTCCGAGGGCTTTTGGACAAGGGATCAACATGGATCCAGTTTGCTTTGCGTGGCCCGGACCCACGGTTCCTCTTTTGTTCGGGCCACGGACGAACAATGGATTCAATTGACCAGCTGAAACAAATATCTAAGTAAATCGGATGCCTAAATAAACTAACAATTTTTCACCTTAATAGCCTTTCGGCCAACACAGCCGCAGCAACACACAAAAGGGTCAAAGGACGCAATTGATTGAAAAGAAACGAGTTGCCAAAGTTTGGCCATGATTCTTCAGGAGTTGGAGTTAAGCCAACCCTAAATCCTTTTCTGTTGGGAAAGGTTGTTCTAATCGATAAGAATTTGTCAAAATATATTAATAAGAAGAAATATGTACATATATACAAATGTATAAGGAAATTCTGTAAATACTTTTAGGATTTTCTAATAGTTCCCAAAAAAGTAAAACTTCTTTATAATAAATACAATTTGGGGTCTTTGACAAGTCCTCTTCCACTGTAGTTAACCCTTTCAGCATTTATTTTTCCACATGTGCAACTCCACCACGCATTTCGCGCAGAGATTACGTTGAACCAATTTGCCCGGCCGGATGGCCCCATCATATGCAACTCCATTTTCCGTTCATTTCCAGCGCATTTCCACCCGCTGCCCCATTTTCAATTTCCGCGCATACACTGCAATTATCGCTTTTGTCGACCGTTGAGGCTGTCTAATCTGGGCAACTGGGTCAAACATATTTGGCCCCATCCTAGCGGCTCATCACTCGGCTTCGCCCCTGTAATTGCATTCAATTATTTCGGAAAGGCTGGGCTCATAAGCTGGCATTGGATTTCAGCCCTTCCCAAAGCGCATTTAGTTAAATATTTCCGTAATTTAAATGAGATTTTTGGCAAGCAATCTAAATACCTTTGGCATATCCCTTTATTTATCTCTTTTTTGGCCAGCTTCTCCGATTGCCTTTTTTTGGCTGGCATCTGACGACTCTTAACGGTATTTTTCCACTTTTTCCGGCACAGAAATTCATTAAGTTTATTGATCCGCAAATCGTCGCAGTCATTATGCCTTGATTTAATCCGCTTATGTACATCTGAACCTGGCGGCAGGTTTAGTTGAAGAACGGCTTTTGCGCGCTTTCCACCCTTCTGCCTCCTCTGACTTTTCCCGCTTCCGATTTTTCGCCATTAAAGTCTGAGTGTAATTGAGTAATTTCCAACTGGAAAAACGGAAGCGTGTGTTGGGGCAGCACTGATTGGCTGGCTCTGCCCCCACTTTCTCTCGGCCGATGAAATATTTAGTTAGCCTAATTATGCGATATACCAATTTTGATTGCCGCACTTCTGAACCCTCTCGAAGATCCGGCTGGCGGAAATGAAGGTGAAATTTGCCTGCCTCAAACAGTTGTCCCATCGACCGTTGATAAACATCATCATCGTGACGAGGTTTACGCAGTTGAATATTTGGGTCAGAGCCGTGTCAATATTCTGTGTATTTCATACTTAAGTGGACCTTATTTTGATCAAATTAATTTATGTTTTGTGTTGGGTTAGCTAAGTTTGTTTGGAATACATAATTACCATTACCTACTGAACATTTTGAAATACATTTAAATATATTTACTGTTGTTTCTTTGGTTTGAAGTTTAAATAATTAAAAGTGTAGGTGTTATTAGGGCTTAATGTTTTGTTATGAATTTTAAATATTATTAAATTAACATTTATAAATCAAAGTCAAGGTCTTTGCCCAACTATGTATTATCAATTCCTTGAAAAACTTTTAAGATTTCTGGCTCATCTTAAATCGAGAATTTATCTTTTTCCCAGTGAAGCTTCCTGCCCGTTTTTCGCTGTTATTAAACACGTTTATTCTAAGTTTTCCTCCGCAGCCGTTTTTCATATTGCGTTTGGACATATTTTTGTTGGATTGCGCAAAAATTTCAAATTAAGTTGCACAGCGGGAAGAGAGAGAGAGAGGGCAGCTGGTGAGGGAGAGAGAAGGAAGACCGAGCTGTAAGTGAGCAACAGAATTGCATCACGTACATGGGCAATTTGCCAGAGAAATACAATACAAAGAACACATACACACACACACACACACAAACATCCTGGAAAAGGATGTCTGCCTCTCTTGCTCTCTCTCTCTCTCTATCTCTATCACACCCCGTATTGCTGTCTTTCTCTATCTCTTTCGCCGCCCGCTGCTGGCTTTTTTGGCACAGGTTTTCTGCTCGAGAATTTGTAAATCGCAGCGAGAAACAATGCCGGGCATAAACTAAATAAATGTGAAATATTTTATCCCTTGTACGTTCTGTGCCAGAAAGAGAGAGTTTCTCTGCGAAAGAAAACAGACAGAGACAGGCATAGGCCACACAAGCAGATTACTTTTCGTCGCTTAGTCCGCTCGGTGCAATTAATCTTGCCGCTTTTCTTCTGCCCAGCTCTCCCCTTTCTCTATGTCATGCTCTACGTCTCTCTTTCTTCTCTTTCCACCAAGGACCTTAGTATGGTCGCCTTTTTCGTTGCCCACTTTCACTTACCCACAACAATCATGTCCTCGTGACCGGAAACTGTCTGAAACGAAGGCGCCTCGCCGGACACTTCGCAGCGATATCGGCCAGTTGACTGAAGGCTAACTGAGCGCAGGACAACAACGACGTCCGTCGAGTTTTGCAGCTGGAAAAAAAGGAAGAGAAAGGACGAAAAAAGAAGTTAGTAATTGTGGTAAAAAAAGTGAAAGGAAGCTAAGAAAGGGAGACCTCCGTGGGGCCCTATTATTATAACATATATATTTTTTATACCCTTGCAATGGGATATCTTTTAAGGAAGAAGTTTTTAACCTTTAAACCTTTCTAAGCCTTCTACTCCATCGCATTCTTTTATTAAAACTAAAAAATATAAATAAAATACTATAAATTTAAAGATCTTTTACTCAATTTTCTCCAATAGTTCAATACTATAAAATAGTTTAACCCTAGATTTAAAATAATGGTTTTATGGGATCCAAATTATTCAAATCGCTCCCTGGAGTTGTTTTATCTTTTTCATGGTTCTCTTCGGCATCTTCATCTTCAGCATCGTCGTCTTCCTCATAATCGCCTTCGTACTCCTCTTCACCATCGTCGTCATCATCAAGATCGTTGAGAACCTCTAACATTTCGCCAAGATGCTGATCCTTCACCGGCATCACTTCGTCTATGGTTTCCGCGGTGGGCGATATATTAAAGTGTTCCATCGATTCCCTGAACTTAATGGCATCCTCCAGATGCAGGATACTCAGATCCGCATTCTTTTCCCGACTGATTTCGATGGGATCGCTTAATGGCTGGCGGATCTGATGGGCAAGCAGGCGGACAACGTCCTCTTCGTCGAGAGGCTGCATAGAATCCTCCAGTGATTGCAGCAATTTTGATTTTCGGTTGTTCATAATTTTAGCCGAAATTTAATTGTGAACAATTCGAATTTTACGAAAATCAAAACTGCTTCTTGTAAATTGTACTAATTTTTCAACGAGTACTAGTTCGTTTAGATCCTCAATGAACTACTTAAGGTGTTAGAATATGGAGAAACAATAACTAAATATTGAACTTAAAATATTTATCCTATTATTGTTATACTTTAAAATAATTTCCTTACCTCAACATCGACTCCGGGCAGTGGAAAAACCTGGCCGGGTGGCATGTCTCTGGGCACATAGCGGTAGAACTCGAAGCCATCCTTGTACCACTTGACCGAGTACAGCGACTCGCCATCCAGATCGAACTTGCAGCCGAGCACGGCATCCTCGTGGCGCATAATGTGCTTTGGAATTTTGATCTCGGTCATTGTCAGGCATTCCGCGAACTCTGAAAAACCAAATAGTTGGTTGTTAGAAAATTGGCCAGAGTGTGCCACTTTAATAAGCCCTAACTGCAGTTGTGGGCTGGCTCCGCTGCTTCGCGGTTTCAATGCCACTGGCAGGACATAAATAACTTGCAGCAAGTGCATAAAAGTCAAGGAAATCGAAGGAAGCCAGACTAGAACAATGCGCTTTTGTTTAGCCAACACAATGGGAAAGTGGGGGAAAGCGAACGCGGCTGACTTGAGGAACGTGTCCTGGTTGGAAGGACCCATTCTTTCAGCCTCTACTTCCCTGGGAGAAGATGCTGCCGTGGGTGCTGGCAGTGGAAAAGCTCTTGGGCCCCGGCGATATAACTCAGCACTCGAGACAATGCTGCAGTGAAATGAAAAGTTGCCAACTTATTTAACAGCCCAAGACAAAGACGGAAAACTGTGTAGGCCATTCTCACACTTTCCGTTGGAAGGAGGAGGGTAATTTGGCTCGTACAAATCGAGATATGAAATTAATATTGCAAAGCCGAAATATGAGCAGCAGGAAAGTGGGGCAATCCTGGAGCCAGACAATCCATTCTACTGTCAGTTCTGCCCCATTCTGGGGATTAAGTTAACGAGTTAAAATATCTTTAATAATTTAATTATTAAAGGGATTGAGGCAAAATTTTATATAAGTTACAAATCAAGACATCAAAGCTAAATAAGCTTCAGCTTATCTCTTTATTGTTGGTCTCCTATACAGTTTTGACTTGATTTTCCCTATGTTTAACTCCCCCACAAACATAAATGCTTGTCAGAGAAACTTACCATTAATTGTACATAAACAAGTAACTTGGTTTTGCTTACTTTTCTCGATTATAATGTCTTGCGTCAAGGATAAGTACGGGTTAAACAGAGCAAGCTATTTATTAAGTATGTCCTGGCATTTGTAACCACTAATGTAATTTTCTTTTCTTTGAAGCTTATACAATTACACTTGAGTGTCAACACTATCTTGCAATCAATGGAAACCACTTTATCCTTGCTGTCAAATCGGAAATAGCATCAAACCGCAGTGAAGTCTAAGTAAATCCCTAATTTAAGGACGTCAACAGCTTTCGAAGTTTATTTTTGGACAAGTTCAAAAATAATGTCACTGTCGAGTTTAAAAATAAAATATAAATACAATGGGCTTGTGTGGGTTGTGTCGTAACAGGGGAGAAAGACGGTGTGTCTAAAAATAAGTGCAACATTTCATTACCAGAAAAAGGCAGCGGCCTTAAAGGATTTTTGATGTTCCTATCTTTACAAATTTGAGGTGAGCATGCTAGGCCTAACCATTTTTTGGGAGCTTGGAATATAGAAATGTGGGATTTTTAACTGCTTGAAAAATGCTTTGAATATCATAATTAAATTGAATATTATAAAAACATTGCGGTACAAAAAATATAAACGAATTCTTTATTTTAAAATATAATCTTTAATAAGAGAAAACGAAATATCTATTATTTTCCAGGGAGATTTTCTAGAAAAAACCATTAGATTGAACTGGCAGGAACACCACGGCATGACTGGCCTCCTCTATAGGGTATTCAATGCCTCGACCCCTGGCACAAGCCTTGGCTTCCTGCTTTTTGTGGTCGTTCAACCATTTGGTCAACGAAGCGACAAACAAACAAATGGAAAGCACAATGCACAAAGGCAGGAAAAAGAAGAGCCGCCGCCATTGAAGCCGATGACGATGATAATGGCGATGTGGGGCCGCGGGGGCGGCTTAGTCACGGGCTGGAGGAAGTGGAGGCGCGGCACCACGCCCACCATGAGGCAAAGCTCCTTTGAGTGCATTTCCGCTTTGCGGCGGCGGCGTCGTTTGAGTTCCTTTTTCTCGTTTTTTTTCCGGACGGTGCGTGGCTCCGCTTTGGCAGACACTTTGTGGAAATATACTCGTTTTTTGTATATTTGTGTGTGTTTGCGTTTTTGAGGCTTAAGTATAATTTAGCATTTTGCACTCTCGAATAGTTTGTGTACAGGTGAGCCTGCCTCGTTGGCGGAAGACAAACAAAGTGCGTTGCCAAAAGGTTTTCACCGAACAAAGGCTTTCTGCTAGCGGAAAACTCCTCGGTGCTCCTTTTCCTTCATGAAGTAAGAGAATTTTTAAGGAACCGCTGAGACAACAACCTCGGGGAAAATGGAAAATGCCTAAGAAGTTGAAGTCGTGAAGTAACATCAAAGATTTCCAATTTCGCACGAACATTTTGAATGAAAAACAAAAGTTAAATATTAAAAAAAGAAATATATATAATGTTAATAAAAATTTTAAAATATTCCTTTTAAGATCCTTATATTTTTGCTACAAGTACGAATCACAACCAGGGTCACTGACTTTCTTAAGAATTTGTTTTACGACATTATGGAATTCCTACAACGAAGACTGACAGCTGAGTTAAAGTTATTTTCTGACAAATGCCAAGTGCGCAATTGGAGCTACCTGAAGTTGTTGCCCCGACGCCTTAGGTAATTAATAAGCCAGAAATTGGATAGTTTTGTCATCTAACCTGGGCTTAATTAAGAAGAGCCAATGCCAGAATGCCAGAAAGGAAATTGTGCTGCTGGCGGAGCCGGAAAGTTTTCCATTTGATGTCGTGTAAACGTCGTAGTTATGGTCGAAAGGGGATCACTCAGAGTTGGCTTACGGTTCCACCGTTTTACCTTGGCAGAACAAACTGCAGAGCTGCCACCGTGCCCGCCACTGACAAAAGTTTGCTACTTAATTATTGTTGATTTTTAAATGATTTCATTTGCCGCCCGAGGGCAACAAATGTCAACCGCAGACAAAAGTTGGCCGCCCCCTTCATTTGCATTCCCATTCCCTGAAATGAGTTTCTTTTTGGGGTTTAGTTGTGCTCGAAATCTAATTCGAATAAAGGGCGGCTGGCTTCGGTGTCAAATGCAGAAGTTTGCCGAGCAAAGTTTAGCTTTGCATATCATTATGGCTTTTTAATGGGGTGAGCAATGGGCAAAGTCGGCTAAGTAATATACCACAAGGGGTGGTCTTCATAAGCAACTAATGAACTCCTCAAGCGTTTGTGGGTTATTTCTGAGAAGCGTCTAGCAAATCGATTGATCTGCCAACTGTTGGTAGTATTCAGAGGTTTGTAGATTATTTTCTTCCCTAAAATAAGTCGTATTATTAGGAAATTATTTTGGAAATTGGAAATCTTAGTCAGTCTAGAAACCATTTAGGAAAAAAAAAAACCTATTGGTAGCAGCTTAGTCTGCCGGATTAGTTTCAGGGCCTCTTGGCATCCAGTAGAACTCTCGGCAGAGCAATTGCAATGTCAAATCTAAATCTGACTGTCACATGAGCTCAACTCGACTCAACCCGGGCTCAGCTTACGTTTTCTCTATGTAAAACTCGACAGGCAAATGCAAAATGCAATTAATTTTATTAGAGTCCATTGAAAACTCATTGGAAAAACGCTCCACAAAAGTGGTCTGTTCCGGCCGGGTTATTGTTATTGTTATTGTTATTTCGGAATAGTGGGACGAGTTGGCAGCCAAGAATTTATGGCTTCACTTACAATGCAAATTTTTCCAGACCTCGCAGACGAGACAAGGAAATTATGATGCGGGTCAGTTGGAGGGCTTACTCATGGGCTTTCAGGGTATCCCAGGGACCATGGAGGGAGGGGCCGTTTTCAACCGGATGCGAAGCCTTGAGCAAATAAAGATGTTTTTTGCATGTTTCGCAGACGCCAGCAGCATCAATACGCATCAATCGCAGCCCCAACCCTTGCAGCCGAACCCCTTCCAGGCCGTGTCACATCGACATCCATGGCAGTTGCCCAGAACGTGCTTAATCTGCAATCAGAGGCGGAAGTTGGTCTCCTCCTCAGTCTCCTCCATGGTCCGTATATCTATCCGTCTTTCGGTCCAGTTTAGAGTCCTGTCCCCGTCTTTATTTCAGTTGCAGTCTGAGCTTCTATACCCTATACCCTATGGGAGGATCCTTCCCCAGTTGTCACCGTGCTTTCCTGGAAAGCTTAAAAATAATAAATACTTTTATAACCTCTACGAAATTCTAATTATGAATGCTACAGTGATAAGTTTTTAAAGATATTTAGTGTATAAACTCCCTTTTGGATTTTAATATTTTTTTTAGAGTATGCAAAATCTTTGATGCCTTTGTCCTGTCTCTTCGTGCCTTTGGAAATGAGTGCATCATCGTTGTCCTGGTCGTTGTCATTGCAGCCACAAAACAGGAGCACGTCTGCCACTTCTCGTTCCACTCCCTCTTATCCTTGCCGCTCCCCTTCATCCCTTCTAGCCCCTGATCCCTCTCCCTCTCCACCGCCAAAGCCAACAGCTCCCAGTTGTCAGCTCAGTTCAGTTCAGTTTTTGCTGCATTGCAGGCGCACTTTCATTTGCATATTTCGCAAAAAAAAAGAGGGAAAACGGGAGGAAAACAAAAAATATGGCATAACGTATAAGAAGAGATGAGAGTGGCAAAAAAAAAAAGCTTGGCAACCATCGATCGGATCCCATTGAGCTGGTTTCTTGCTATATGGTTAATCGCAGAGCGGGGAAAGTCAAAAGTTTCTATGTCGACTTGACTTGGAAGTTTGCAAAAATATTTGCGATTTCTATTTTTGTTTACACAGAGAAAAGAGCAAAATGAGCAGAGACTTTGCAATTTCTTCCGAGTTATTCTGTCATTGAAATAACAAGCAAGGTTTCTATTATTTCCCATAATTACCACAAATTGTGTGAGCCATCTAGCCGAAATGACAAATGACCGAAATTAATTAGTCATGCCGGGCAAATTTGTCTTTCAAAGCGACAGGCATAATGCACTCTATTTTCTTTAATTAGAATATCAATTAAATCACTCCACCCGCTAGTATACACACGTGCAGCTGTAATAATATAATTATCATTTTCTTCGGTTTGCAGACATTTCGGAGTCAATTAATTTAATTAAATGCAAAACATACATTTAACCAAGGCGACTTGTCAGTGTTAAATTTAAAGGATATACTTTAATAATAATACATTAATTTAAGTAATGTTTTTGTTAGGGTCTCAACTTGCTTATAAATACAGTATTGAATTATTCAGCAAACAAACCCTCCATCCAACTATTTACTATTCAAACCATTGGCCTTTAAGCCATCGAAAGAGCCCACAATCTGTTGGCACCTTCCAACTTCTACCCTCAATGGCTCCTCAAGAACACTTTAACCCAGACTAATCGCCAGAAAAGGCACTTAATATTACTTATAGGTATTTATGATGCCTAAGCAAACAGAGCAAATCTTTAATAAACTCCACTCCGACGGAGCTTCGAGTGCTCGGCGTCTGGCAGGAACTTTCATTAACTGAGTAAGGGGGATATTCGGCATACAGAGGGAGGATTGAAGGAGGAAGGAGTGCGTGTCGCTCAACATTAGTTTCATGTGCTGCCAATAAATGTGTACTTCCCTCGGACATCGGTGACCGCTCTTTGTTAGTTACAATTTGGCCAGAAGTGTGCGCCACGTTAACTTAATTTCATTATTTGTTGCTCGCTTTTTTTTCGTTTTGGGCAGCCAGAATTCCCCCAGATCCACGCTGGGCGGCATGCGTACGCGTACGTGACCTCATAATAGGAAAATAAGATTTCTATCTATAACTCAGGCGGCGCTCTGAACCTCAACCCCAGTCCAAGCAAAACCTCAAACCCGGGGCCGGCTAAGTGCCAGCAAATAATAATCATTTTCGTTCCCCCGTTTGTCTAGACAGAAATTGTGTTTGTCAGTCATTATTATTTCGCTCTCTGTCGCAGGAAGGGAAGCCAAGTTAAATAGTGAGCAGAGATCTGCCACAGAAACTTTTTTGCTTTGACAACTCTGCCGCAAAGGAAACGGAAACGGAAATGGCAAAAAACTTGAGCATGTTTATTAACTTAATTAAATGCGGCATCAGGAAACTTCGCTGGTGCTTTCTAGTTTCCCATGTTTTCTTTTTCCCTGTTCAAGTGTTGCCTCTCGGCAATCAAGCTAATTAAGTTGAAGGTTTACCCGCACACAAACAAAAATTAATATTAATAAAATATATTAATGATGGTTTCGCTAATGAATTGAATTTATGGCTCGGTCGAGCATAAATTTCATTAGCTGTGAAAATCGTCAATCAGTCGAACGGATACTGAATTGTATATGCTAAAAAAAAGGAAAACAATTAATAGTTTACTGATCCATCAAAAGTTCACTGGGAGGATTATACATTTTTTTTTTTTATGGCCAGACTTGCATTTATAATTAGTAATAATAAATTGAATTGTGGGCTTTTGTAGTTTGCTCAACTAAGTGGAAGAGAACAATTAAAAATAAAACTAAATCTAATTTCTATATATTTATGCAAATAAGCTACAGTAAATATATTTTCAATTTCAGTGCTTAGCCCAGTGGCAACCTCAATCGACATCTCCATCGGCTCAGGGAACCAAAAGTCTTCTCGTAAGTCTCCCTTCTCGTGGTTAGCCGCGACTTTCGCTTGTTTGCCAGTTAATTTTGTTTAGTTTTTGCTCAGCAGTTTGTTGAACTTAATTAAAAATAAATAACAGACAGCGACGGCAGCGGCAAACTTGCTGTTTATTAATGCCTTGGCAAAGGTTTTGGGGGCAGAAAGGATTTTCTGCCGAAAGGGTGGAAGGAGCTGAGCCTTGACTTTGCGCCCGACTTTATCAACTTGACAGAGTCAAGCAAGGATTTGCTCCATCGATTCTCTGAGAGGGAACACATGGCGTATAAGTTATATTTGGAAGCAGCGAAACTTGCTCTTTTTTTTGGGGTTGATTAAAACTTTTGACTCTTCTCTTACCGTAGCAAAGTTGAAAAATCAGCCAGGCGAGGATGCCATAGCCGATTGTATATTTTTTGTGTATTGCAGGATCCATGCTTTTTCACTATTCTCGTTCGCTGCAACTTTTCTGGATGAAACTTTAATTTTTCAATTTGTTGAGGAATTTTTGGTTATTTTTCTTGTCCATGTCCGCGCGCTTCTATGTTTGCTTTTGCTTCGTTTGCGTTTTCCTCGTGTCTCATTTGTGCGATGCAATAAATTTCCCTTGACCGCCAACGAGGGAAAGCGTCAACCAATTGCTTTTCTTGTCGCTTTTCCTTTCTGCTGTTGGTGTTTTTGGCTTATTTATATTTATTTTCCATGAGCTCGTTGCTATTTGCTTTTCCTATTAAGCGTTCGCCCACATAGCAAAACGTATAGGCACTGTCGCATTTACATGTTATATCCTGGCCGTCTATTTGTGTTTGCCTCCCCGAGCTCGCCTTCTTTTATTTCTATTTCAGTTTTGGCTTCCGGTGTTCCTTCTTCCCGTCTCTTCACGCACCGTATTTAATTGAAACATCAGCAGAAGTTTTCCTATAAATGAAAGAAAATACCGCAAGATTGAATATTTATCTTGGTTAAAGTTGGTTTGGTCTTTATAGCTTACGACTATTTAATTCGTTAACAAAATTTATGATTTGGGCAATTCAAATATATTTAAAATATTTGCCAAGGAGTGGGCAAGTCGTTAGTCATTTCCCTGTCTTCTATTTTTGGCTGTCAAACGTTGTGTCCGATATGTATTTTTAGTTACCTGTCACTATATCCCATATTTATGACCCAAAGCTATTTTAATACCCACTTATTTGTGTCTGTTTATCTGATTACCTTTTTTTGGGACTTTGTATTACGTATTTAATATTTATGCTGGGCCAATTTCTAAACAGAATGTTCTTAGTTACAGGCGAAGCAGGTGTTCATTTTGGATAAGGAAGCTCTCCTTGTTTATTTTTCAGTTTCTTACAACTGCAATAGTTAATGAAATTGGCACAAGCATGTATAAAATATTAAAATATAGTTACTAATCTTGTTTTATTGTAGCATCAAACAGAGTAATTTCTACTCTCTGAACTGTAATAAATATTACATTGAACATCTTAAATATGCACTCAAAATTCCCCAGGCTAGCCAATGTTGGGTGCAAATGGCTTCAAGGCAGCCAAGACAGTCGCCTCGTTGTCAACTCGGGCTCACAAAATCACAGAAACAATAAGCCAAATGAATTAATCATGCAATTTATGGCCAATAACATTTAATGCGAATTTAATGCTCTCCGAACAGAAAGCCCTGAGGATGAAGCCCAAGGTTCAACTCAAAAATCATTGGGCAAAGGCATAAATTAACAATAACATTGTACAGTCTGCGATTGTGTAATTGTTCTTGGGCAGGCGAAATTAAATTTGCATAAAATCAATTAAAACCAAAAACTCCCGGAAAGCGGCAAAGCGCTCGGGGGGTAGCTAGAAAATCTGTAAAGGCTGCCTTTTGGGCACAAGTTTTCCAAAATCATGTTTTGTAATTAGAGGCCATGAATAATTTTAGCACCTTGTTGTCATCTATTTCCAGAGACACGCACACACACCGAGCACACATCGCACCGAGTCACATGTCGAACGGTGAGTGGCTTATGCAAAATAGTTCAGACTCGGACCCTGAGCGCACACGCTGCGTATACTTGATGTTGGCTCCAGGACCGAGTCTTTTGCATAATTAATTATGTGGCAAGCATGGCTCTGGCACTCGCTAGTTAAATATGCAAATATTCGGAGAACAAGGTCTAAGCAGACTTAGACACCGCAGGTCACTCACATCCTCCTACGGCTACTTGCAAATCTCTCTCGCTGTTGCCTCAAGATTTTTTGCTCCTTAAATTGGTCCTTCCCCCGAAAATGTTTCGAGTTCTGTGCTTTAAAGAGATTTGCCTATAAGGCCATGTTCAATGGCACAAACACACTTCTCTGGGGCGGTGGTGGCCCTAAAGGGGGCGGTCTGAACATCGGGGCTTAAGCGCCTTGTATGTGGGACTCTCTGAATGCCGAATGAAGTATTGACTGAATGGCCATACGAGAAATGCCTCACTGACTGAATGACTCGCATTGCCCTCTGCGTGTGTGTGTGTGTTGGCCATTGTGGGCATTTTGCTTGTGTGTGTGTGTGTGTGTACTTGGGGCCTTGAACAGCCCTTGAGAGCAAAAACGGCTTTAAAATTTAAGCTGTAAAACTGGTAACTTTGCCTTTGCGGTAAATTGTAAATATGAAAGATTTTTAAATTTGTTTGACTAGAGAAGAAACTCTAAATACTCTAAAATTCATAAAATAGTGTTATATTGTACTAACATTATTGCATATTTTACATTAAATTTGTTAAATAATTTAACAATTGAGATAAAAGACGTAATCTAAAAACCCTTTTCCCTATTATAACATGAAATAAATTTCTTAGCTTGCATTTTAGAAGTATTATCAGTACAAATACTTTTAAAATTTACGCTCACTTAAATTTTAATAATCGAGATAATTGTTTAGCAATTATAATCTTTATTGACCAAAATTAAATACAAATTCTCTTTGAAAATAAACCCAAATTATGCATCATATTGAATATGCTACTAATAAATAAAATTTACAATTATTCCCACAACCGCAACCATTAGAACAAGAGCCAATGATATAAATTACAACATTTTTGTCCCCGGAAACTCGAAATATGTTTTCCTTACGAAATAATTGGATAGGGAATCTCTTTATTTATCCTGGTGTTTTCAGTTTTAAGTGTCAATTGATAAGGCCATAAAGGCCAGTCAGGCGTGGAGCTGACCTTTCCGAGAGTTTAGGGACTTAACGATCTGCTGGTGGTAGGCTTCCACTCGCTTTCCCAGAGTTTTTCCCTGGCTCGCCTTGAACTAAATGAGACTAATGAAAGGCCATAACTCAAAGCCCGACCAGAGAATGTCCCAGCTCAGCGACTCAAATTAATTGGCATTGTGCGGGAATTTTATATACATATAAAGCGGAAAATCGCGGTGTTCACACAGCTGGGGTCAATAAAGTATACAGGAAATAAATCATAAAAATATAAGTTGAAAGAAATTATTAGTTAAAGGTTATGTTAATTTTAGTTAGAAAATATAATTTATTTGTATTGTTTAATAAGTTAAAAATATCATTGTGACTACTAAGAATGCTAAATATTAAATTTCTCGAAATACAGCCAACTTTCTAGGCAATTATGAGACCTACCGGCTTATGGGATGGCCACAACTTCTGGTTAGACTCTACTATCACGTCCTTAGCTGTCCTTTGTTTACGGTATATTGCTGTATGCCCGTATCCGGCTATAGAATTTCATAATTATAATAATTTATGTTGACACCTGAGGCGTGTACACAAATTGAACTGGCCCCAAGGTCCGCGCCAAGTTAATAAAACTTTAAGTTACAATTTGCGTGGGTGCCTGTGTGTGTGAGCTCTCTGAGAATGCTGGAAAATCCCCAGAGAAATATGAGGAAAATTGTATGTCGCATAATACTCACTTATTGCTGCTATTTCTGCCGCTGACGATTCCGTTTTTCTTTCGCCGCTGCTCCTTTTTCAAAGAACTTTAAAGAAGGTTTTTGTTAGCCGGTTTTCTTTTTTTTTTTTTTTTTTTGTGGGGCTGTTCGTGGCTTGGGGCTTTAGCCAAGTTAACTTTTTTGCCCGCTAGACCTCACACTGTTTTTGTTTGCTGGCTGGCCCACGTGCATAATAATAACAAATGATTGGTTGTCACGCACGTAACGGTACTTTCATTCATAATTTATGCATTTTAATTTGTCAAAACCAACTAGAAAGCGGGGGAAGTCAGTCGCTGGCTGGTTGCTGGCGAAAATGAATTTGGGAACACGCCGGCAGGGGGGGGAGATTAGTTTTTATGTTTTTTAGTCAATTGCAGTTTTTGTTTGTTTTTCTCTCTATCTCTCTTGTCCTTGTTTTTCGTTACATTTTATTCATAATTTGACTTTTCACTGCTCAACTCTCCCACTGAAGCACAAGCACACACAAACACAGACGCACACTGGGGCACACGCGTACGCACGAATGTCCTCGGTTTTATCGCGATTTCCAGGACTCGGCAGTGGAGCAAATCGAGAATCGAGTGGCGAGAATCGAGAAGCGAGAATTTCGCACGGACTTGTGTCGCCTTCGCCAACCACTCAGCACCAATAACCGACCAAGACTAAAAGCTTTGCTCTCCTTATTACCTGGTTTTTACTTGGCGCCCAACACACACACTCACACACAGGCACTCGCAGGCTTAGCGGACACGCACATCCGAACACACACGAAGGACACCACGAACAGGACACGACGGCCGGATATCAGGATAAAAAGCGACGAAAACACGAAAAGTTTCAAGCGAAACGCACAAACTGGTTCGCATTGTCGAAGGTTGGGAAATCTCACGGCTAAAAGAAAGAGAGAGAGAGAGTGAGAGAGTGTTGGAGAAAGCACGAGAGAGCGAGCGAAAGAGTAGCGAATGTAGCACGTCGTTTTCCGCAAGAGAGTCGTTTCCGCCTCGTACTTTGTTTGTTTCAATTCCGGTTTTCATATTGAAAATCTCTGTTAGGCAAGCTAACAGCTGGAATTTCCAGCAAGCTGCTGTGGCACGGTTGATGTTAGCAAAAATACTGGGAAAATTACACATCAGCAGAGATTTAACAGTGTTCTGCTATATGTAAATAATGATTTTGAGGCAGAGATTAGGCTAGGATAATGAAGAATTATTTTACAAAACCTGATTCCTAAGGTAAAGTATCATATTTTCTGTAATAATAAACAATTTAATAAAAAAATATTTAATTATTTACAGATATTTCTTTTTTAATAAATAAAATAGGTTGATTTGGTTTACTAAATTAGGATCAACACAAAGTATAGTTAGGTAAACATTTGCTTACCTAATAACCATGACAATAAACACCAGACTGGCACGTGTAGGAACAAAATCCTGCCGTTAACTGTTCTTCACTTCAAAAAGTACTGCAAATTAGGAGAAGTTTCCCAGCCCAGCAAAGGTTTTCCCCGGCTCCACCTAATAATCCCCGAGATGTTGTTGTTGTTCGTCAAATGCCTAGTTAAGTCCTCGCAGAGCCTGCATCAACAGCATTTCCTTTGATACGCACACAACATTGGCAAACAACGAAAACAATAGAGACAAGTGGAGCACCAAGAAGCAGCACGAAGAGTAGACCAGGACCAAGGAGCAGGAACGGGAACGTGAACTGAAACGGGAACAGGAACAGGACCACAGATCCTGGCCCAGTGAGGCATCAATAGAAAATACCAATAACATCGACATCATCCTCCGCATCATTAGCCGAAACAAAAACTGCTGACTGGGGCACAATGCCAGCAAGCAAATCGGGTGAGGAGCCATGTACCCCGGATCCGTATTCCCTGGCCCGAAACCTCGACTATCCTATCCCCCGATTCCCCGTCACATCCTCCCAATTTCATCGTAACCCTAGCTCAAGGGTCTTCTATTTTTTTTTTTTGTCTGTGCTGCACAAGTCCCGCTGGCAATTTGAAGTTGAGCCAGCAGCAAAGAGTTCCTCTTTTTCTAACACTCTCCCTATAGCACTGCCTCGTTCCGTCTCTTTTTTAACACTGTTCGAAATAATTATTTTTAAAGGTATGAAATGTGAACATCTTCCTGAAAAATGTATTATTAAACCCACTTTTCATCATACATTGAATTATATATTTGACTTTTCTTTTGCGTCAATGTTTCAAATTATATTTTCTGTAGTTATTGGTTCCTTTTTTTCGCAGTGCACCCACTGGCATCGGCTCATTGACAGTCATAACGCTGAAATGCGCCTCAACTTGAACTAATTTGTGCGCAATTTGCGCGAAGAAAGGCGTCGGAAACACCAAAGGCAAAGCTAAAAGAGAGCGGGATATACAGGGACAGACCATAGATGGCGAAAGAGATGGCCCCATCCTAATAGAAAGAGACGACAGCCGACAGTGGGGTAGATGGGCGGAAAAAGAATGGCAAGCATTTGCACTTTTACTTAAGCGTAAAACTTTTCTTTTGCAGGTTGCAGCCAACTAATTTTGCTTCCTTTTCCTCGAATGGCAACAAAAAAAAAAAAAAAAAGTGATAGGAGCTGGTGGCATACAGACATTGGAAGATAAGGGAGAGATAGAAATACTGTTACTGATTGCGTCAACTTTTTCAGCAACTTGCTTTGTTTCAAGTTGCTCTTATACTCTGCACTTTTCTCGAAAACAGTTGATCGAAATTGAAAAGGATCTTAACTTTCTAATGCTCTTTTAGTCCCCTTAAAATTTCAGAATAAAAAAAAAAAAAAAATTAGATGAGTTATGTATTATAAAATCAGAGTTGTAAAGGTATTTTTTCAACTAACAAACAAAATTGTTAATATTAATATATTTTAATAATTTATTTACCATTCTTGAATACTCTTATTTACTTAACTTCCTGTCCTGTTTCCCTTTTTGTTGGCTCCTGCGTCTCCGCAAATTGCATGAATTTGATTATTTGAAATTCCTTGTAGGTGAAAACATTCCTCGGATGCAGTCTCCGCTCTGTGGCCATGGAATGCGTCAAGTTTCTGCCTTTGAGAGGCAAATCCTGGCCCTAATTGTCTTCGCCTTGGACTGATTGAATCTCCTGCACTCCACAGGCGGCTTTATTATTTAACGTTTCAATTACACAAAGACGGAGTCCGATCCAAAAACGGGCAGTGGCATGTGAGGACCGGGATTGAGAGTCCTTTGAGGAGGCTATTTAGCATGTAAATGCGAGTCAGTGCCAAATAGTTGAGTCCCGGAGTCAGCGACTCGGCTTTAGTCGGAGGCGGAATCTATTTTGCATACAAATGGATTTTCTTTATGTTTATGGTGCGAGTGCGAGGTAGACTGAAAAATAATTTCGCAAATGTTTCATTTGATTACGGAATGAATCTCTGCTTGGATCTTTCAATCTCTAATTGTCTTTTATGCTGAATGCAAATGAGGACTTTGTCCTTGGCGGCTTCAACTGAACAAATGATTATAAATATAAACTTGTATTTCTTGGAAAAGATTTTGATTTTCAAGCGCTTTAATAATGGGGTTAAGTTTGTAGAAATTAGTTCTTTATAAATTTTTTTAATTTAAGTACCTTTGAAACATATTTTCACCTCGGTTGGCCTTTCTATTTTCTTCAATTATATTTTGCCTTAGCATTTTTCTCACAATTTAAACTATTTCATTCTCATTTAACTCGAGTCACGCGCTTCTAAGCATTTTTACATTTTTCATGCCCTGAGTAATTAAGAACCTGCCAAATGGAAATGCACAGGAATATATTTCACTTTCCACGAACTATTTGCCGCAGGAAAAACACAATTTAGGCTCAAGAAAACCCACCACACTTCGGGCTTATTGTCGAGGATTTTTAGTGTTGAAAACAATTGAAAGTGTTGGCAGTTGCACACTGTGATGATAAGGGTTGCGGTGGTCCTCTCCGGGGTGGTCCTTTGGGATGGCAAGCACGACATGCAAACTCAAATGCGGCCGCATGAAATTGCGAACGGCAAAAACACATTCATACAATGCATTTACAACCGGCAGCAAAAGAAGCAGAATCAGAAGTTGTAACTATAACAAAGAACTCGGTCATTTGGTACACAAAACGCAGCCAAAAGCACGCCCCGTGCTGCTAAATGCTCGAAAAAAAAAAACCCCGAGCAGACGGAAAAATAAAACTAGGCAAAAGGAGTGCAGCTCGGGCCGAAATGGAGGGGGAATCGCGCTCAGAATGCACCCACGTTTCCATCCATGCATGCATGCATTCATGTGTGCTTGATGGGTGTGAAATACTTGCCGAGCAGGCTTGCAAGAATATCAGAAGCGTTACGGATACTCAATGGAACAGAGGGGAAAAAATGACTTAAAATGACCCTGACATTCCTAATAATATATAAATAATCGTTACGTTTTAAAGGGATCTTGAACTAAAATACTTGATCAGTTTTTGAGATATATTTCAAAAATATATTATATAATATTTATTTATTGATATCAATCCGAATACCTAGGGATATTCAAACCGTATTCATAGACACTCTGAGCAAAAATTCCATCAAATATTAAGTAGTTATTCCCCTGAGAGAGTACGACTCGTCTTGGTATTTATTTGAATCAATTTAGCTGTGACCGTAAACTGATTAATGTTGAGTGAGGTGGCCGCAGAATTGTGAGGTTCCGCTGTTCGCATGCTATTTATAAGCCTGCGGCTTTCGGCATTCCAATGCATTGGCTTCAATGAATAATTAAGCGGTTGGCGATGCCAGGATTAAGAAGCAGCTCCAGCCAACCGCAACCACTCACTCGCACTTGGGGGACTCCTTGCCACACCACCGTTTCACACACACCCGCATCTCGCACACATACTCACACATGCCAGGCGAAGGAGGGACATTTTTCACTTGTCAGGACATGACGCATACGCCTCGTTAGCCACGGATCTAGAACCCAAAACCTGAAAGCGAGAAACGCCATCTAATTTATAGAACGTGGCGGTTATTTCTTTTAAGTGCTCGACAAATAGAAACAACAAGCACAAAACACATTTCGTCACGTTCCCCCAACATCCAACAGCATCAATATTTTTATTTGAATTCTGTCTCCTTTTTTGCTTATAATTTATTTGCATTTGCTCATTGAAATGCTGCACAAACCAAACTCGTCCAAGTGCCACGAGCCGCAAATAAATGACAATCGGGGGAAATGGAGGAAAGTGTTGCCAAGACGGGGATATCATTTTGATGCTCTAGGATACATTTAAAGGAAGAGGAAATTTCGGTGTGAAATACTTAAATGAATCGGTTAATATGAAACCAAATTTTGCCAAATGGTGAATTTGTCATAGTTCTAAATAAAGAAAAATAATGTAGAGTTTTTTAAACCGATTAAAGTAAATATTATATTGAAAAACAACACACCAATTAATATTTTTATATATTTAATATCTTTAATTAAACGTTGTGTTAACCTATAGAAAAATGATAGTTTTAACTCAACTACGAAGTATCATGTAAGCCTTATTGTAAGCTCAAATTACTCCCAAATTCCAGTCACCTTCCTATATATGTATGTAGATAAATATACATATTTATGTGGGCCTTATTTTCAACACCCAAAGCAGCAAAAGCAACAGGGAGAAAATAAAACGGAATGCTAAACGAATTTGAAACATGCAATTTTTGTTGTTGCTGCCTTTTGGTACCTTGCGATGGTCCGCATCCATGGTCCGTCATAAATTCTCGTTATACAATTTAAAAACATTTGCTAAACACGCATTTCCTGCATGGCAATAGCAGGGAAAATGCGCAGGGAAACGGGAGTGGGTGTGAGAATGGCTCTGGGTCCGAAAAACATAACATAAATTTACTTTTTGGCTGCCCAACGGCCGTCGCTTAGAAGGGCCAGTGCAAAATAAAAAAAGAAAGAAATTCCGAAAAATAAAGGACACTTGAACGCCCATGGAGATAAAATTGTCAAAATGTTTGATGAATGCGAAACGAAATGAAAATTTATTTATATAGGCTCCCCCTTCCAGTGTGTGTGTGTGTGTGTCCGTGTTTGGATTCCCGCTCCATTTGGTATTATTTGGCTTGTATTTTTTAGGTATTTTCATAGCATAAATAGATCAGGGAAATGTTTGCCATTCCCCGACCCCATTCATCGTGTTTATTTGCGTATGCAAAAAACGTTTTAAGTTAATTTGGCATGAAGTTTTTGGTGATAGGAATAAAACCGGAATTCGTTTTTTATATTTTTGTAGGTTATTTATTTTTACCCAAACGAAAATTGAGCTACTGGCATTTGAGTTGAATTATTTATACTATTGATAAAAAAAAATGAAACAAATCCTGTCATCGCGTCAACAACAAGATCTCGTAATTTTTTCGCATCACTTCTTGAAGAAAACTTTTGCTCACCGAAGCACAAAATTAGTGTGCGGCTAATTTACAGGACTTTCGCAAGGAGGACTCTTACAGGAAAGACACCCAAAACACGTGTCAATTCTCCCACACACACACACGCATCCTTTGGGGGTGAAAAGAAAATTTTGTAGATGGGGCATGGACAACGTGACGTGCCACTCATCGCCATGAGCCCTGAAAATTTATTAACACATGCCAATCATAAAAAGAGCAAATCGCATTTTCATTCGAACAAAAGCCGTCCAACCAGAAATCGAAACCAGGAGAAAAACCCCTCGAAAAGAAAATAACGTTCCAGAAAACGAAAAGATTGGTTTTAGGTAACCAGAGAAAACTTAACTTTTAAGATGAGATATCTTTATGAATTAAATATCCCAAAACAAACTATCAGTTAATCTTTTGCATGAATTTCCTTATTGAATGATGTATATTTTTTGTTAATATTTTATAGGCAAAACTCTTGTTTTATTTTAAATTCTGATGTACAAATGTTGTATCAATATCGAAATGGGTTTTGTTTTACGTTCTTTTACTCCAGATTTTGAAAGAATGGAATTCGAATTGAAGAACGCCATTTCAATGGCAATTTGTCTAGGCAGCTCAAAAATTACAGTCACGTTTTCGATTATGAAAAATTTTATTTCGAATTTTTTCTTCAACCTTGCCAAGGCCTTGTGCTCTCTCCTATGTGTGTGCATTTCTTTTTGTGGGTTGATTGTAGGTGCACTCAAACATTTATTTATTATTTATAAGCACAGACAATGGACAATACCACGAAAAAGGCAGTTCAGATGAGAGGGGGAATAGAGGAAATCGATTGGAAGAGAAGAAGAAACTTAAAAGAAGGCCTGTGTTTTAATTTCATTCTACTTTAGATTGATTTAGATTAAGATTGATTGCGTATGTAATTAATATTTAAATACTGATAAGTAGTAGATATTATTATGAACTTTGGTAAAGGAAAGTAGCTTGACCTGCTATAAAAGCTCTATTTAGCCATTTAAATGAAAATATTTTAGAGTAATAAATTCTAAGAAATTTAAAAAAAAAAATGTAAAAAGATAATATTTAAAATCTTAAGAAATATGATTAAAATAACCCAGCAACCTCTTGACATAATGATCATTCCATGAAATACTTAATATTTGACTGATAAGCGCACTCAAAAGAATATTTAACAAGCGACGACAACCGTTCAAAGTGTTTAGTCAACGCGAAGCACGGCCAAAATGACTTCGAGTTGGTTTGGAATTCTCATTGGAGCCTGGCTTTTACTCTTTCAACAGGGAATAAAGGCCATATTTGTGTACCCTAACTGCGGACTATCTGACTCATCAGGAATTCGGATCATGAACGGAGTAAATAGCTTGCTGGGACAAGCACCTTTTATGGTGTACGTAATGAAAGACAACAAGTATCAATGTGGCGGTTCGATCGTTAGCGACAGTAAGTATTTCACCATTGATATTTGTGCTTACTTGGAAAATTTATATTCTTAATGTCGTTTCCAGGATACGTCCTTACAGCAGCACATTGCTTGGCTCATGGCCTGTAAGTAGCATTTCTTCTGACTAAAACCGTTTCCTTATTCAGTTTCCTCCATTATCCAGTTCAGTTCGCCTGGGCGAGTACGATGATAGAATGAACCCAGACTGCCTGGACATGGTATGCGTACCCGAACATAAGAACTTTGCCATCTCGGATACGGTATATCATTGGCAGTACAATAATGTCACTCAAGAAAATGACATAGCTCTGCTCAGATTAAACCAAAGTATCGAGTTCCAGCGTAAGTTTTCAAGTGTTTTTGATGCTTTATTAGCTTTATAATTATGTGGAAATACGCATATTTTATGTTGCTAAAGGAGAAACACCAATATAGGTATACTTATCACATAACAATCCATTTCCCAGAACACATACAGCCGATCTGTTTATTCCTCAGTCCTCAATATGTGCCAACAATATACTATTACACGGTCTTTGGTTGGGGCTTGACCAACCCCTATGATAAAGAAAAAGCGCATGTTCTACAGACTGCAAATCTGAGGCTCTATCCCAAAGTTAACTGCCGCACAACGTTTAGGATTCTTGATAGAAACCAGATCTGCGCTGGATCAGAGATATCGGACACTTGTGGCGGCGACTCCGGCAGTCCGCTGGTATTTACTGACCAAGATGGTCGGTATATTCAGTTGGGAATAGTGAGCCGCGGCTCCCGACAGTGCAACACTGCTGGAACGTACACATATGTTCCGAATTACAGCGACTGGATCGTGTCTACGATGCAGAGTATGGACCGAAGAGTATGGACCGATGCCCCGCTTCGCAGGACTCCCTGGAGAACTACTAGAAAGCCATTTATAATTAGCATATGATCTGGTACAGACATAGTCTATCGCCAAGTGCAATACTCTGTTCATACATAAAATATAATTACTTCGGCATTGCAAAATCGTTTCGCTTGGTGATATAGAATATATAACCATTATGGGATCGCTTTTGGGTTATAAAAATAACTTGTTGCTGACCTTTTTGACATTCCGAAAAAACAGTAAGTTATTGTCAAAGACTTTAAAAAAATGATTTTTTCAGAAACAGCCAATTCAAAAACCCATTTATCACGAAAGATCAATTAAAATGGTTTATGAAATCCATTTAAATAGAACAGAAAATTCCTCGAAATATATGTAACACTTTTTAACTGATAAGCAATTCGAATGAATATTTAAGAAACACTTTAGATTGTTTTCAGTATTTATTTATCGCGAACCTTGGTCGAAAATTACTTCGAATTGGCTCGGCTTTGTTTTTGGAGCCTAATTTGTTCTCCTTTAGGACGAAATCAAGGCCCAATTCCTGTACTCCAACAGTGGACTATATGACACATCAAGAAGTAGAATCACGGAAGGAAGAGATGCTCCTTTGGGATTGGCCCTCAAGACTTCGATATTGAGCTCGGTACATCACTGACATAGGTCTGATTAAATTAAACAGAAACATCATTTTTATTGGTAGTTTATCACTACCATAATAACTACGACTCTCATCTTGTCAAACTACACACATTACCTATTCTTTTTTACAATACATATTCAGCCGATCTGCCTGCTCTTATATCGTAGGAATGGCCCATAGTATCTGAATACCAGGTCTTCAGCTGGGACCTGACCTATTTCGCCGGTTCTACAGCTCTTCAGTCCACAAACCCACTCCCCATACAATCTATGTAATAAGAGGCTTAGAACAAGCCTGAGTGACAACCAGATCTGCGCTGGATCCACTGGATCGGACGCCTGTGGCTACCCTCCAATTGGGAATGGTTATAAGAAAGTTATAAAATCTCAATTCCGCGAAATATAAATCCAAATTCGACTGATAAGCCGAATTGGGGAATATTTAAAGAGCGGCGACATCGCCAATGGGTTCAGTTACGGCGATCCTCAGTCGAAATGACCGGGATTAAGTTTGGTCTTATCTTTACAGTCTGTCTTGTTGTCCAACAGCAGGGAGTGCTGACATATTTTATGAGGCAGAACTGCGGAAGATCATATCCCAGGCCATCTCCGAGGATCGTTAATGGACAAACGGCCGTTTTGGGAATGGCTCCATTTATGGCATATTTGTATATAAACTCCAGCTTTCATTGCGGCGGATCCATCATTACAGAAAGTTAGTATTCCGGATTCAATTAGTATTTCTCTATTTATGTGTTTTGTTTTTTTTTTTTTTTTTTCAGGATACATCCTTACGGCAGGTCACTGTGTGGAAAAAGACCTGTGAGTAGCTTTCCGTCTAATTGAAAATTGTAGATTGAAAGTTAACCTTTTTGCGATTTAGTAAAGTGCGCCTGGGCGAGTATAATACCAGGACGAACCCCGACTGCGACGGTACAGCTTGTTTTCCCAGCATTGAAATCTACGGCATCCAGAAATCAATACTTCACGCTGGCTACAATGACATAACCTTAGCTAATGACATAGCTCTGCTTAAATTGAACAGAAGAATAATCTTCAACGGTAGGTCATATCTAAATTGGCATCTTGTATTTTATACTTACACATTTCCTTCCTCAGTTAACACTCAACCCGTCTGCCTTGTTCGAAGTCCGACGTATCTGCCTCCGATACATGAGTTCCATGCCTTTGGCTGGGGTAGGACCGAGAACAGAACTATTGCCAGGGTTCTCCAAACCACGAAACTCTACCTCTACAGCAACAGCTTCTGCAATTCGAGACTGAATGACTCACTGAACCAAAACCAATTCTGCGCTGCAACGCGTAATTCAGACACTTGCCAAGGCGACTCTGGTGGCCCCCTGGTGACGCATTTGCCGATCGGCGAAATGTCCTTCTACGTGCAGTTGGGACTAGTGAGCTTCGGCGATAGCCATTGCAGAGGCGTAGGAGTGTACACATACGTCCCGAATTATACTAATTGGATCTGGAAAGTGATACAATCAAATTAAACTTTTGGTTTTTCAAGCGGTTCAAATTGAATACTTTTTGGCAAAGCTGCGGGATGATGTCATTATCAGCGAACAAAAATCTATTGTCATAATTCAGAATTCCAACGAAATATAACAACATTCTCTTCCAAGTATAAATATACAGACATGTGCTATAAATCATTTAATGAACTCCGAGGGTTGATCCCATTATTCACTCAGTTGCTGATAAGGATTCTGCTTTTAATGTCTTGAAATACTAGAGAATTTTAGGTATTAGTAATCAGACAACTTAATCGCAGAAGGTTAAGTGTCAGGTTGTCATTAAACAAAAGCAATTAGTTAAAGTTAATGGTTTAATAGTCTATTTTTGACACCACCTCAAATTAACCTTGCCATAAACATGTATTTAAATTAAGCTATTTACTGCAATATTCAAGCTACCTGAAGGAAATATTCAATTTTCCAGCAAAAAGATATTTGAAAATAGTTACCTGCGGTCTGGTCTGGATGGGAAAAACTTTAAGGACCGCCTGCGGTGCTTGAAAACTGTTAATTGATTTTGCCTCTCGCTCTGTCGGAGTTTCCCAGTCACCAGGCGATCCTTTATCCTTCCGATTATTGTGGCTTTTGTGCAGTGGGGCGCGGCATTAGCTCTTGGACACCGAACTGAACTGCTTAACTTTCATGCAATTTGCAGGCGGCCAAAAATAAAAATCGAGTGAGAGAAGTCAACTGCTTTTCGGCCCGCATAAATCTCCTAACCAGCTGAGGAAGGGAGATAGCGAGAGAGGTCCTTTTGGACGACAAACAATTTTATTGTGCTGGCCACATGCAACGCACACATGCAGCAGCAGCAGCTCGCACTCTCGCCCTGGCACACCCATGGACATTGGTATATGAGTGAGGTTAGTGGCCGACAACGACGAAAATTGCAAAAGGATATGACTTACAAACACTCGAAAAGGGACCCTCACACACACATTCAATAAGCGCTTTGAAATAGTAAGTAGACAGCACCATTAAAATATCCACTATTTAAACGTTTATCAATTTTATACATTTTCTAATCACATTTTCTAAACTCGAACATTATTTAAGACTGTCCATAATTTCTCAACTTGGAAAATTCGAAATCCCATTTTTCCAGGCACATTTGAAAAGTTCTTAAAGCTCCTCATCAAATCCACCTTAATTTGGATAGCCATCTAAACAGAAAACTTCTCTTAGTCTGACTGGGCGATTGTAGGGTATAAAAAGACACATACTGCCAGATAGGAACCACGCTCGTGTGTGTATATAATACCAGACACAGCCCCACATGCGGTTGCAGTTTTATGCGTTGGCATGGCCGCCGGCCACGCCCACTGTCACATGGGACGGAGGAGGTTCAGTCCACATAAGAGCATTTTCCAGCACAGCTTGATCCTTTTTTATCTTCCATTTGATTTTCATTTTTAATACGAAAATAAGTTTAGCTTAAAATTGAATTATTTGATTTATTTTTGCAGAGAGTGAGGGCGAGCAACTGGAGATAGAGTGTGCCGTAAAAGTTTTCTTATTTGATGCAACCGGCTTGGCCCAAAGTGGTTGCCGGCCAACGTTTGTTGGCCAGTTTTGTCTGCGCTTTTGACTTTGAGCATAATTTAATCGGATATTTGTTGCTGCTCCAGCTTCCGTTTGCCAGTTTCATATTATTTAAGTTTTTCTCTACGCCGCTCTCCATCCAAGCTTTTCGGTATAGATTTTAACAGATTCCTTTTGACAAGCAAAATTAAATGGAACATTTTTGTAAATCAAATTTACGTTGCCTTTTTCTGGGCAGCATTTTTCCAAATGGTATATATTCCCATTCTATTTTTTTGTTATTTTCGTGCAAGTCATGGGATGAGGAGCAAAACAAAAGATTTTAATCATCTTAATTAGTTTACGGTTCTGATTTCACCGAGAACTAACAAACTGAAACCGAAAAATGCAGCAAAAAACATGGAAGGAAAGGCAAACCGACCAAGAGTTACCCCTTTAAATTGTGGTATTAATATTTTTTATTTTGAAGATACCTATTCTAGAATACCTTTTCTTATCGAGAAGGAGAGCAAATAAATAATTAAACTAAACTAAAAGTGAATTTAAAATTAATACCGCACAGATAATTATTACAGAGTCCCATATTGCTCGACCCAATTGACCTTTCCTTAACCCATAAACCCCTTTCCTAAACCCTCCTCTTGTAGGGTATCGAGATGAGGAAAAGTAAGACTAACATCTCCAGGAGCCATTTTCTGGAATGAGAAATTGCTCTGGCAAACAACTTTGCACATGTTGCAGCACCCAACTTGCAACTGTCTTTCCAGGTGTGTGTGTGTGTGTGTGCCAGTGTGAGTGCAACGTGTTTGTTAGCCAAATTGAATTTATGACCTGTGGCGTTACACTTACACCGAAGCACACACACAGGCAAAGAGGGAGCCAAACCTGGGAATCCCCCAGGTGATGGGCGATGGGCGATGGGCAAGGGGCTTTGAGCTGAGATCCGCCGGGCGACATTGTTAAATTTTGCGTTCTAATAGCCAAAGTGTTGCACCTGACAGGTAAGACAGCCGGCAACGAGCCAGAATCGGAATGTGCCATGTCACACTTGACCCCAAGCCGAGCTCGTTGACTCGCTTTTCTTCTCTGTATTTTTATTTTCCCACCGCCCCTCAACTGCGCTTCAACTGCTCTAATATGCCAGTTTATTTGATGGAGTTTCTGCCATCCGTGGCTCAAAACAAAGTCAAAATCTAGAGTTCCTACAAATTGCTTGGGCAAAAGAGGATTTATTATGTGTTTAGACAACAAACTTTTAGTAATTTTCAAGCAAAATCTGGCTGGAAATCTGTAAATTTCAAGTGGATAAAAAGTCATGTTTATAATTCAAATAAATCATTTTACCACAAACAAGACATTAGGTATAGTTTTTTGAAGATTTTCTAAATGAAAACAGTTAAAAAAAACATTGTTTCCAATATAAAAATATTAAGTAAATATAATCTGCAATTATTATAAATTATGATGCTACTAAGTTTTAATTTTAACATTAATAAATCCCCATTTTCTTAAACCTCCTCTGGTTTTAGCAACCTTTCCCTGTTTTTCAAGTGCACTCGTTGAAATTCAAGAGTTCCCAAACAAACGTAATAATTTTTCATTGCCTGTAATCACCACCTACCTGCGTACACACTCACACGGAAAATTCTTGGCCAGCTTCAATTAATTGAAGCCAACTTACTGCCGAAATGCAATCGACAATTTGCTGAAATCCCACGAGGGCCACCTTTAAGTGACTTCTGCACTTGGTTCCCTTACCATTCCACTGCTTCCCTCGCCAAACAATGGCCCAGAGTCATCCCCTATATTGGAAGATGTGTGTTTTTGGGGGAGGTGTGGAGATTTGGTGTCAACTACTAAGTTGCCTGGCTGGGCATCATCAATATGTTGTCCATAGCCAAAAAGTATCTATTGCCAGGACTGTAAACGCACACCTCCTGCCTCAAAGCGTACTTTTCATGTGCATAATTTCCGCAACTTGCTGGCTGAGCTTGGAGGGTGAGGGAAACCGCTAGGGGATGGGGTGTTAGTGACAGGTTAGTAGGAAAACTTATGCGCGGACCGAAGGCAGATGGAGATGCCATTTGTATGCATTTGCCTAACTGAGCCGGGCTCTGAGCACGTTCCCACATCTATGAACGGAAGCACTGAAAATTGCTGTGGATCAAATTTAACAACTTTTACAAAATAGATCCTAATAAAGTTTAAAAAATTTTCCAAAAAAAAAGTTTTTATTAATAAACGAACGATTTGATTGTAACATTATACTCTAAGAAATAAAATAAAAACATGAAACTATTAAACAACAAATCATTTCGTTTATAATCATTTTGTCAAAATGAAAATTCATGTTTCTTGCCGTGCACTTGTGCTGGTGTATCCTTGTCTTGGCTGCCGGCCCGGATCCTGTGAGGCCTTCGAGTGCGAGTCCTTGTCCTGACCCGACCCACTCAGGACCTTTAGTCGTGCAGGAGCAATGTTTCGGGCTCATTGTTGATATCAACACAATTTAGTGTCTTATACATGCGACCCGAGTTGCTGCCACAGTGCCGTGCAGTTTCACATGCAACTAGGCAGAGCTTTAGCTAAATACCTGCCATTGGGCACCTGTCCCTCCCATTGCCTTTCGCCTACGGAGTGCCGCCTGATGCCGCCCCCTTCCTAAGCAAACACACACGTGGCCGCATAGTCTATGCACCTGCATGGAAAACAAAATGAGTTGCATGTTGATTAAGTCACCTGTACACACTTTTGCACAAGCAAACAGTGCAGTCTGCTGCTCCCACGCAGAAGAGGGGTGTTCCAGGTGGGCTTCCTATGGGGGTTTTGAAGGGGTTGGGATGGGGCGAGGCTGGCAGCATACGTTGAAGAGCTTTCTGGCTTTAGCAGGAAGTTGTTGCTTTTTATGCAGCATCTGTAGCAGTTGCTGATGCTGCTGCAGCCTCCTAAAAATTGCTTCATTAAGTGTTTCTTGTTGGCCTCTCGGCAGCTGTGTATTAGTGACGCTTTTATGCTAATGTCCTTCGAACAGGAGAAGCCCACAAAAACCAAAGACCAGCAATGCACTAATACAGGTGGAAAAATATATGAATTGTTACACATATCAATTTTTGAATGTTTATAAAATGCAGCTAGTTTTTTTGTAAGCAATAAATACAGAACTTCTCCTCTCCTTTAATTTAATTTTTTTTTCAACTGTTTCACTAAGCTTACCCCTAGTTCTTTTGACAGTTTTCCCAAGATTTACAACACCCTAAATCTCTGTTTTCCCTCAGTATGCTCTCTGCCTTCGCCTTGACTTGACGTTTAATTTATTTTTGCACTATTTTTCAATTATTTAATTTCCTTTGCAAACGCAAACACACACTCATACGCACACCACAGCTAGGCAGTAAATGAAATGTAAATTGAAAACTCTGCATCTGCTTGGCAATCAAGATAAGAACGAAAGAACAACGAAGACTTTGCTTGCAACTCTTTGTTATGCCCAAATTTCGTTCTGGTTTTTCGCATTTTGCCAGTATGGCACTTGAAATGTTTGTGATTTCTTTCTTTCTTTCTTGTGTTCAAAACGAAAATATTGACGAGAAAATATTGTATATTGTATTGTATTTGATTATTTAGTTTATCCTAAAGAATGATATTTTTTTAAGCCTCTAGGGTAAGTTCTTTTATTAATTTAGTAATGCAATCTGACAAGCTTATTGTGCTGCGGGCTTGATTTTTCCACCACATCCTTCCCTTTCCATTTCCGGTTCCGGTTCGACTCTCTCCCTTTGTCGGTGCTGCTTATAATTGTCTCAATTTGAGCAGCCACACAGTTTCAATTAGACGCTATGCACATTGCCTTGACGATTACTTCACAGGTCAACCCGGCTGTAACTCCGTCTGTCCCAGCCCCCCGGAATCCTGAGAGGGTGGAACCCATTCCCATGCCCTGCCCAATCCCCACATATTTGCGTATGCAAATTTTTCAAGCTATTTGCTGTGAAATTATGCCAGTCGCTGTCGACGCGCATACGCGGCTAATAAAATACGCAACAAACTACGCGATGCCTGAGTGATGAGGCAGCCAAGCGTTTGCCATAATTTATGTTGCGGTAAACCCGCAGCCGCACGGCTCGCTTTTCCGCCCCGATTTTCCACCCAACCTGACCCGCTTTACCTTTTCAGCACCCGTGTGCCCGTCGGCTGTGGGGCTGTTTATATTGCTTATTTAATATGTGCACGGCTGCCTGGATCAGCGGCAGCGTCAACAGCACCAACAATGGGGTTTCATTGAGTTATGCCGCTCATTTGGAGCGTCAGCAGTCGGCTGTAGTCGCAGCCATAACAATGAGCTCATTTCCCCCGATTTCACCGCCATCCCGCCCAGACCTTCTTCCCCTTAAATAGTGGCGCGTGTCAATTTAGCGCTTGGATGTGACATACTGCCATCCCACGAGCAGCTGCTCGGCTTCGAGCTAATATTAGTTTTCGTGGTTTAGCTGATTTTTTATTACCCCAAAAATAATAATTGGAGATATTTTCCTTGAATAACCTGAGCCAGCAGAAATGTTCAATGGGATAACTTTATTTATATCGTAAAAAAGTACACTTAATAACTGAGAAATTTCTCATAAATAAATATTCATATATCGTTTGCGAACGAATAAATCTAAATAGAGTGGAGTTCATTGAATTCATTGACAAATGCAGCTACAGCTTCCTTTGAACACATGAGAAAGCACACCTTCCACAGCATAACCCTTTTTGTTATTCCTAACCCTTCTTTTTACATGTGTCTGTGCATTTTTTAGCCAAAGTTTCACAACAACTTTTGTCCGGCTCTATCAATGGATGCACCTTATCAAACATTTACAGCCAGTTGGTGAGCTGCTGTGGCATGCGAAGACTCTTGAAAGAAATTTAAACATTGCGTAAGAAACACTAGAGACTGTAAAATATAAACAGGTGCTTTGTGTTACAAGAAAATGTATTTCTTTTATAAATAATATATTTTTATATTTCTTATATGATTAAGAAGTTGTTTAAATTACACAAAAATTATTTTAAAAATTTGATGTTACAAGTAAAATGTATTTTTCTATGTGCTATTTTTATTTATTTTCTTGTTGTATGACGTGGCAAAACGCAGCCTAACTGGCTGGCAAGCGACATTTGCCAAGCTCAGTTCACTTGGGTTCAGTAAGTTCGGTTCGAGTTCGGGCTTACTTCATTTTTCATTCATTCAAAGCGCAACATCAACAGACGCAGTCTGCAGCAATGCAGCTGCTGTTCCCGGCATCCTTATATATTTTAATACCCTGCCCCAGGCTCGAAAGTTAATTCCTATAAAAATAGTTACAGAAAAGTAACAATTTGTTTCTAGTTACAACTTTGAAATGGAATTGATCAATTACATATCAGAAAGATATTTTAAGATACCAATCAAGTAGAAAAAAATATAAATTAGAAAACTTATTTTTCATAAATAAAATTATTATTGCTGTATGGTGTGCAATGTAAACCACATTTTACTAATATTTACACTAAGATCTCCTGAAAATATTTATTAGTGTAAGGGAATTAAAATCTTCGGCCAATCATAAGACAGTCCTTTCTTCTTATTCCGCTGCATCCTAGTCTTCCTGCTCCCCTCTGCCTCTTGTGGCGGTGCTGCTTTTCATATAACAACAATATTTTATGCTCAGCTGTCTGGCTTTTTATGCATTTGCCCGGCTGCCTATGTGAAAAATTACAAAAAGCCAGCAAGTAGTGGCCAAGTGGCGGAAGGGAGGGTCAGAGGGCTCAGGAGAGGCCTGAGAAAATCGGGGACCGGGCGAAGGAAAAGTGGGAAAAGTGGCCACAGCCACAGAGGCGGCGTCTAGGGCCAAGTGTTTGCCATGCACTTGACTGTGTTATTTTTGCCTCCTGTCCGGGCCCGACGCATAAATCAACCTGCTGCAAGCACACACAATCCCGCGCCCAAGGAGCGGATACATCCCTGCCCACCTCCTGACAGGAGATCGGGATAACTATTAAAGCGAGTGGTGGCCCTTAAAGATGAGCCAGCAATCGGATGCGACAAATTTTATTGAGCAGCTGCTCAATGATGCACCATAAAAAACGAAAACAAAAAAGAAATGAATTAATATGGGAATGTCTGGATATAAAAAAAATTAAGCATATAGCCAATACTTAAAAATACAAATATTCGTACACTTAGAGCTATCATATGCACTTAGAATTTCACAATGATGACGTAATTTAATAGAAAACATCCAGAAATGTATAAAATTTAATAAAGTTTGTTTTTGTATTATCTCAACGTTTACTTTTTCAAAGTCACCGCCCTCATTTATTACCCTTGACATTCCATATTAATCAGGAGATCTCTGCCTGCCTGGAACTAGACTCTGGCCAACTTAATTTAATACACTTCCGAGAGGAACAACATTTAGACCCCAGTCAGTTCTCAAAAATTCTCGACTGGGTCAGTTTGCTGCTTCGGACAGGCTACTATTATGGCCACATTATTGGAGTAAGCAACTTTGAAATTGACTGGCGGACGGGACGCGTTTTCAGAAGCACTCGGAGCACTGTCTATGCCATCGCAGGCAATGTCTTAATTCTTATGCTTATAAGCTTCAAGGTAGTAGGAAAGGCAACTTTTACTGTACATTTCGAAGGGACGCATCAGCTATACAATTATGTCGTATTCTCTGTGACGCTACTGAGGAACACTGCAGGTTGGCTGACATATGTTAAGGATTATTTGTTTAAATGTCTAACTAAATTAAATATTATAATTTTCGAGTGGCTTTCCCTTTGGGGACCAAAAATCAAGCAGATACAAATGTTTTCCTAGGAATGGTTCTGCATTTTTGGCTGTCGGCCATTCTCAATCTGTTATTGGCACAGCATTATATAGTGATGCTGTGCATTCGAGGACAATATACATGCTTAATGCGAAGCTAAAACAGGTTATCAAGGAAAGCAAGCACCTAAGCCTTAGTCCCTCCCGAAAGGGAGCCTTCATGACCAAGTGTTGCACCCTGGCTGATCAACTAGAGGATATAGCGAAGGTCCAGGACCATCTGCAGTCGATTGTAACCCAATTGGACAGGGTGTTTGGCATACAATTCCTGATGGTGATCTCCGGGAATTACGTATCTACGGTGGGCACCATTTACACAACCTATAGCATCTTTAAGCAAGAGGTCTTATATTGTCCTTTACATGGTGCTTATGCTCCTACATGACTGGCTTCCTCAATCTCATCATGGCTCTCCGCATTCAAGATGACCACAAAGAGATGATTCGTCTTTTGGAGGAGCGAACTTTGTTTGCGCCTGGTTTGAATGTTCGCCTGGAGCAGTCCGTGAGTAGATTTGGTTTATGTAAAATTCTAATTCCAGTTTGCAGAACTCTATAAGTTATTTTTGCTTGGTAATAAGCTGTTAATTTACGCAGCAAATTTTTCTATCCTTTCAGTTTGAAAGCCTTCAGTTGCAGCTTATCCGAAACCCGCTTAAGATGAACGTACTTCAACTATTTCAAGTCAACCGCCAGTTAATATGGGCCATGACAGGATCTATTATATTACACTCTATATCCTTAATTCAGTATGACTCTTAAAATTTTTAAAAAGAATTTATATAAAATATTTAATATTATAAATTTTAGTCGGAAAAATTATTAAGATATTTTCAATAAAACTTTGAGCAATTAAGCTAAGAGCAGAACTACATTTTCACAGAATAAAACAAAACGAAGCGTCAGAGAAATCCTGTTTGATATTTCAAAAAAGGACGCTCCCCCTCCTCGTCATCCCTTCATATTTATTGCACACACAAGAAAGTTCTGGCCATTAAATAAGTGGAAGTTTTCCCTGCTCACTTCGGTTAACATCTGCCAATTCTTTGGCTTTGCAAGGCGACGTTTATCTTTCCAAGATGAAAACATGAAATGGGTTTGGTTTAATTAGCCCACAAAACCAAAACAAAACAAATGCTGGCCGGATAACACAGGACAACTTGTGCACTATCTGTCTTCATTACCTTTTCCCTGCATCCATAAAGATATGTGTTAATTTCTTGTATGTGAGTTTCTTGCTGTATTAATTGGGACAAAGCCAAAACTTAAGCGCTGATAAAACTAAAATCAACCGCAGGTTTCCGCTTCCAGCGAAATTCAATGGCAGTTGCCAAGGCCAGGACATCCAACGTCCCTTACCCACTTTCTCTGCCATCGCGTTATTCGCTTAATGCTGTCATTATATGAAGTCCTTTACTTCGGGGATACGCTCTGTAAGTCTATCTCATATGACTGTTGTCCCCGGCAACCAGGAGGAGCAGGACTCATGTGCATGAAGTCGCATTCAACAGTGAAAGAAAATTATTTTAGTTAAATGAAATCCAGGAGAGTAAGTTAACTAAAGAAAGTGGAAACATTGCGTAAATTGCCAGGACAAAAACCAACAAAAAACATTGTCAAGAATCACTTTCATTAAAAAATATTAACTGAATATATATTACAAAGGGGTTTCCAATATTTATATGAATTATTATCTATACTAACATTAAATTATTTTTTTTAATATTTCTAGAAGTGTAGTGTATTCTTGGTTAATGATAATCTCAGCATCAACATGACCATTAATAGCACTCATCGTTTCTATCCAGAATTTGCATTATTTTTCCAGCAGTTTTAGCTCTTTTATGAGACTTTTAATGTCAGCTGAAATTTGATGTGCTCGGATTTCAGTGTAAAGTTGGGAGATGTCCTTGAGCTAAATGAGGTTTAGCGCGTTAATATTTTCAGCTGGAAATTTCGGTGATAAACGGTGGAATAAAGGTGTAAGTTTCTGGCAAATAGGACCATCTCAGATAAAGTGGTAAAATCTTAATTTGTACTAGGAATATGAAATGATTGACCTATAAAAATGGATTTGAAAAAAACATGAAAATTAGCAAATTTCTCTTAAAAAATGTTATAGCTATTTTAACCATTTTTCCTTAAATGGCTAAGAAGAACTAGAATTTGTTATTTTTCTTCCATTTTGTGGCAACTACCAAAATCCGTTGGCCACTTGTTTAATTTTGCGCTCAGCATTACGCTTAATGCGTTTACACAATAACCATGCGTTCTCAGTGATGACCCCCCTTTCGCCCGCTCGTCCGTCCTTTCCTAACGTCCTGCTAATGGCCTTATAATTACTGTCCACGTCCGACGAAAGCCAGCAGCAGCGACGAGAGGCGGAAAAGAATTGGCCGAAAAGACCAAAGTTAACAAGAAACAGAAGAAAAATAAAAGCAACATTTCGCTGCGTAGCAATGCAGCGGACTCAAATTATGTACTTGATAGCAGTACTATGTCCTTTGCCTTTGCTTTTCCTTTTTGCTTACATTTTTTTCTATTTTTCTTATTTTTCGTTTAAGTGTTGGCCAGCTTCAAAAAGTTGCTGTCGCGAACAGCCTTGGCTTGGGTTGAACTGCGTTTCCTTTCAGCAGAGGAAGTATAAGGATGTTCTTAACCCATAATACCGCAATAAATCTTAAAAACAATTTTTTTAAATTTCATTAAGTACTAAATTGGAAGCTACAATGTATTAGAAATTAAAAATATTTCTTACCCCTATTAGAGATAATAAAAGAGCCACCCAAATATATTTTAAATAAAATACTCTAGAAAATATATATAGATCAAGAAGCACTGGAATACCTATAAAATAATAGGACGATAGAGCCGTGAAAGACGCATCATCATCAGGCGGACGGACTGGCGTCCTTTGAGTCCCATATAAAATTCGAAGCAGCCCGAAGCTCGCCGCTATATGGCTTATATCTGTGGGGGGCTGTGGTGGCATAAAAGGGGCGTGGCACGTACCCCCAAGAGCTGGCCACAACTTTCAAATAAGAAAAATGACTTTCGCTGGCATGTGGCTCCAGTGGATAGATAGATGTGGAGGCAGGCGAGGATGAAAAATGCAGCTGCTGAAAATGTTCACGCATGCAAAATGCAAAAAAAAACAGAAGAAAGTATCTGACAAGTGCCGATATAATACGAAAATACAGTACAGCGCATAATGATATACACAATATTTAGAAATTTAACAGAAAATGTTACTCATTTCAAAAGAATATAAGGTAGAGTAGATTTTTTTTTTGCCCTAACAAACTCAAAGGTCTTAAAACAATCATGAAACGCAGTGTCCCTAAAAACAAGAACAAGTCTTTGGCTTGCAAGTTCCGGCTTTAAGCGGTTGGAGCGCTTGAAGAGCGCAGTGGAGCCTGGCTAATGCAGATGACTCCTCGATGTTCACTCTAGCTGGGTTATCGTATTCTTCGAATGACTATCTGGGTTGGGGAACGGGGGACGGTGGTTAGTGGCGCCTCAAGTTGCGACCAAGTTGACTGCACGGTTAGTTGGGTCTGTGTGGAGCGGAGCGTCTCCATTGTCATTTTGAATTTGTAACAACATGCGCACACGACAATTTGCATTTCCGCTTGCCAATGGGGTAGTTTTTCAACCAACTCGGCAACCAAGCCCCCGCTCGGAAAAACCCAAAAACCCTTATCCGTATCCCATCTGGGCCAAACATTTGCTCGGGTTCCTTGGGGAGGATTTCATTTCACTTTGTGTGCATATTCCTGCCCGGCACGGACCTTTAAAGATGCAACGGAGTTTCCAAAATGCCAGTAGCACCAGCAGCATAAAACTAAGAACAAAAAAAAAAAGCAAGGAATACCCAGCAAATTGACAAACAAAGATTCACTGAAGCCGAAAAGGAAAAACAACATGCAAACAAGCACATAGACATAGCGAAGCAGGACCTCAAGCCCAACACGATTTACACTGGCAAGAAGAGGCTAATCCTTGTTGAACTTCTTAAGAGAAATGTTTATTTAAATTCAATCATTATGGACTTTTATGTCAAAGCTTAATCACAGATTTTATAAATATCAAACAACATTAAGATCCTTGGCTAGCCAAAATTGTTCATATTAATTTCCTTAAAAACTTCCAAATAATTTCTTTGTATTTGATTTTAATTTTTCTTAATAATGTTTACATTTTTCTTAATTACTCGAAGATTTCAAATAATATTTATATTTTTCCCAGTGCCTGTTCGGGCAGTTTATAATTGAACTGTGGCCCAGTCGAGCGAATCGAATGGCCAAACGGCTGCCTGGCTATACGAAAATAATGAAAATGCAACTTAATTTCTTGCCCAAAATGCAGGACACATTCAGCAAACACACACTCACGCACATTACGAACAGCAGCAGCAGTGGCATCCCTGCCAGTTGTGACAATTTTTGGTGTAGATGGATACTCCGTCTGGCATTTTCCGCAAGCCCTATCCTGCCCCCGATCCCCACCACAGTCATGTCTCTTTGTGGTTCGGTGTGCATCAATAAAATGTTGGCATAAAAGCTTTGAGCCCGGCCCATAAACTGGGCGCACGTTGCGTATGCTTAATGCGTGTGCATCGGAAATGGGCGAACATCGACACAGTGGGAGAAAATAATGTGACTCAATTAAAGCAATAAATGAGAGTTAAGGATTAGGGTAAGACTAGACTTGTTGTAAAACTTTATTCCCAGACATTATCCAAATCAGTTTGGTACTAAGAAGTAATTCTGCAATCTCTGCAAACTGCAGTGCATAATCACTGCTATCAGTAGCTTTCGTTGTCGACATTCCTCACATTCCCTTGTGCTCCACGGCCGTGGGCACCTACTCATCATGGAGGCTTTGACAAAGGAATGGTTTGGGGCGTTACCCGGTAACCCTGGCAATGGACACAATGGACACTAACTAACTGGCATGTCTGATTTGAATGTAATGGGTCCTTGTCTCCCTTTGTCAACTGTCCCCTCCCTTTTACCTTTGAACTCATCTATACGCTGGAAAATCAAATGCAACCTCAAACCAAAGACAGAAAGAAAAAAAAAAGGAGACCTGCAACAATTTGCGGCTTTTTCGGTGAGGCAGGGCACTCCCTACGCATAGTTTTTCGTTACCAATTTGAAGACCTCAATCAGTTTTTGTGCCGTTTGAGTTTGAATTTGATTTGTCCCCGCAGTTGTTGTTCCATTCAGTGTGCGTCCTTTATGGCTGCTTATTGGTTTCATTTTCATGTGGCAGGTGGGTCGAGCTGGCCAAGCCAAACCAAACAAAAAACATTTTATGAGCTTGTTATTGTCGTCGTCGGCCACGCCTTTTGTGAAGTCCATAAAGTTGGCTTTTATTGCTT